ACTCTGACTGTTCGGTGTCTTAAAAGTTATTTCAGGGTTTTGTACATCCTTAAGACTGGTAAATAGGTTGAGCTTTTAATCATACTGGTGAAGAATGTGAGCCATGCCAGATTTTTAAAGGCAGCACAAAATTTAACCCTGCTCCTCTGTTTTCCAGAGTGATAGTGAGACTTATCTGGCTCCTGCAAATCTAGTTGTCAGTCTTCCTTGCAGAAAAATACTAGGACTGCGTGAGGGATTAGATTTCAACCAGGTGGAGTCTATAAACAAATACTGTGTTTCTGAACTTCAAAATCTAGATATATCAGGGTATCACATGCCATTGGCCTTTGTTTGAGCCTTTGAAGATTTCCAGCAGTTTCTGTCCAGCTGATGGACACAGCACGTGAGAAGCCTTTGCTCTGTGACACAGTTCTGATGTCTGCACCTGAAACTGGAGGGTTGGAATGGACTTAGAAAGTCAGATATCTCAGTTTTCAATATGATGTGTGTACAGGCCATGCATGCTGATGTACACACATGCTCTTAACACCTTAAAAACCTGTTCAGCCTTTTTGGTTTTGTTTTTCTGTATTGAGGGTATTGATTTCCAACTTACCTTACTTTCTGTAGCTAACAAGAGTGCAGATTAAGTATTTGTGTTTTCTGCAAACCTTTTATTCTTGCTTTGGAATCAGACTTTGTTTCTTTTGCTTTGCTATGCATTTTCTGCCGTGCGGTATTTTGATGCATGCCGTGGTGGTCAGACGATGGTTCAAAGCCGTATTAATGTTGTAAAGGGAAAGCACATCCATGAAGTTCCAAGTTGTTTTAGCTGTAGCACCTCTAGACATAATTGCAGAAACTCTATATTAAGATCTATTTCAGCCTGTTTCATTTGGAAGGGAATATATCCTCTGCAGTGCACAGCCTGTTTGGCCTGCCCACATTTTTATTATTCATGATGATTGTAGTGTCTAATCCAAAATTATTTGGCTTTTTTATCTGGTACTTATTTGATAGAGAATTACTATAAATCTAAGTGTGGAATCCATATGTTGTTAGCGTTGCTTTCACAAAATAGCCATATTCGACACTGTTGAGTAATAGAAACTGTAGTAATCAGTGGGTTTCTAATGAGCAAAATAAGTTCTTCTAATTATCTCATATACCTGCTTTTATGACTGGAAGTACAAAAAATTATTGCTTGAAAGTAGTGTTATCTTAGACTGCTGAAGAAATTGAAGAGACTTTTAATTCCGTACATCAGGTTGCCTATATATCCCAAGAGTGAAGTTCTCCATAGGTAGCAAGCTATGCAAATTATGCTCATTGTAACCAAAGAAAACATTATACTTCTCCCTGTCCGTGACTGTTTAAAGTAAATAGCTTGAATCTTACCTCATTTACACAGGGGTAATTTGAAGTATATCTTAAAATCAACATAATGAAAATGAAATAGAAATTCTCCATGAGGATTTCTGCAGTTAGAAGTGTCAACAATATGGGTAAATTGTGATTTGGTTGTATAGTATACGGCATTTCTAATGGAGCAACAATATCAGAAACGACACCGAGATATCCCCATTCCCACTCTTCTGCTTTGATTAGGTCACACTTTCAACATGTACGCCGAGAAAAAAGGTTGTAGGTACATGTGCACGCTGTTACGATAAAATAATAAAGGCTGTACATATAATGAGTATTCTTGATTATGAGTATTTGATACTTGTATTCCAGCAGTCCAGGACTGCTTAGGTAATGCTAGCACTATATTAACAGCCTTAAAAATATATAAGCAAACCCTCACAGAAGTGACTAGTGATTTTAAATAGAATCAAACTGGAAAAAGCAGCTCCTTTGAAAGTACCTCAGAACTGCTAAGTCACTGTACTTTAAAATCAGCCCTATGTTAAACTTACCAGTCATGAAAGCTAGACATTTCCAGTGATTTCTAGAATGGTTTTGAGAATGTCGTGGAAAATGAGGTGCTCTGCATAAGGTGAATAATATTTCTGCTTGTTGGGGAGGATAATCATGGACATCTAAGCGGCAGCTGCAGATCTCACATATCCTTTGGATTACCAAAATTGTATTAAAATTGCATTCTGTAGCTTATACTGCATCAATAATATGACTATAAAACTTTATGTAATTTTTTATTTACTTTAGTTTTATAGTAAAAACCTTGAGCAAACCTTCTCAGAAGTCTCTATTTCTAAGAAGGCACAAGGAACGAGTTTTGACTCCCGGAGTGTGCATTATGCTCAAGGTGTTGGCAAGAGGAAGAAGACTGTATTAATATGGGAGACCGAATTTATGAGAACATTTTCCTTAGTGAGAAAAAGGAACCTACCATCAGTAATATTGATCAAACTGATATTCACTAGTCAGCAAGTCCCAGGCAAAATTTATATGGAAAATGCTGGATGTCAGAAATAAGATGTTACTATGGAAATGATTAATTATCAGCTACAGGGATTTCTAATGGACTCAAGCAACTGGCAATCTAATTTAAGGCACATTTCAGGTTTTGGAGTAAAGTCTTGAGAGAATATAGCTGTTAAATGATCTGTGCATATTTGCCTAGCATCATGCTTTGAAAGGATGCTGGTTTGCTGCTTCACATTCTTCATCGACAGAGAATGAGCTTCGTCAGGGTTCAGCTGATTCAAACACCATTTACCAGAATTAACTGCTGGAATGGTTTTGTAGTTAATTTTTTTGTTACTAATTTTGGGCCTTTTGAGTGTTTTGATTCTGCTCACAGTTCTGCTCATCCTGTTCCGTACAGCAGTACATCTTTCACAACAGAGGCCAGGTCTCCTAGCTTCAAGCTTGCTCAAAGCCCTCGCTGCCCAGTGCTCAATCTCCAGCCATCCTGCTTCTGAATATAGCAGTTCTGGTTAACTAGTGTTCTGTATATTGCCAAACTGTTTTTTTTTACTTAACAATGAAACCTATCGTTTCCTCTGACATTAAAATCTATTCCCTAAAATAATAGTCGGGAGTATATCTCTGCAATCTGGACTAAAATAAATAATGGAAAGGGCAAGAAGTGTTCTGTTATTGGTTTTTTACATGCTGGCAAAGGACTAGAACTCTTGCACAGAATCAGCTCACTGAAGCCTCTGGATGCTGCTGTAATATTAGACATGAAACAGTTAAGTATTTGTGGCCTTAGGGCATTACTGTAAGGATACAGTGTACTCTGTGCCATACAGCCCGTCATTTCCACAGCCACGTCCTGAAGTCACTTGCACCACAGAATGTTTTGGGCAAGTGTGAGCAAATGGCAGTTTTCCTAGGACCAAAGGACCTGCAGTTGTAAGACTTTTCTGGTCATCTGTATCATAAAAGGAACGCTGCTTTGCCCTGTGTACCATCACCAAGTGCTTACAGTTCTGCTGACTAGGCATCTGTAATACTTTCACTGTGTTTTGTCTCCTGTAAGACTCTGAACTGTATGTAATATTTAATTTTTAAATATAAATGATGTCAAGGAATTGATTGTCCTAATTCAGGGACCCTTTTTTTCTCTCTTTCTATGTAAAGATTTCATTATTATTATTATTTTTAGTTATGCATTACCTTCTCATTAAGAATTTAAGATTTCTTGTGGTTCTCTTAGTGCCCTTGGTAAAAGGCCACACTCTCACTAATAGTCACAAACTTTGTTTTTATGTGTGTTGGACCTTGTCCAATAATCTTAAACATGCCCCAGCTATTTAACATTTGTACTACTGTATTGGGTTCTGCTACCAAAAGGTCTTTTCATTGGCCTTCCTTTTTACTCCATGCTATTAACAGCATAGAAAAATATTTAAAATTATGTTAAGACTTTGTAAATAGCATGATTGATATATTTTATAGACATTGGCACGGTGTTTTTATACTTGCTGGAACTTTCACGTGTTTATATTTGGCACTTTCACAGGATGATGTAGATTTTTTTTCCCACTATCATTTAGAAGTGGTTATAATTGTGAGATCTTGGTTATCCATGGTGTAGGTTAGCAATTTCTTGTTACTTCCACCCATTCCCAGGCTGCAGCAAAACCTGCAGCTGCACTAGAAAGCATCTGCATTTCATGTGTTGTGAATTACAGTATATTTTTATGCAGCAGTGCTTTGCCTGCTAATGCTTAGTCTCTTCTGCTCTCCAAGTTTTTGAAATGTAAATGTTGTAAATTGTACCCTAATCTTCCTACATATTGGAATAACTGTTTTCATTTTATACAAGCTGGTATACTTCTCCATTATGTCTGATATTCTTAATACGTGAGCACTAATAATATTCTAGTGGACTGGTTTACAATGTTAAATACTTTATCTTGTATAATGTTGTTTCACGTGAAAAGTGCCTCATAATCATGGAATAGATGAATTAGGAGTGATTCGACCTGTATTCCAACACAATGTGAAATCCTAAGTCCCCAATTCAAAAAGTTTCTGAAAACTTAGGGTTAGATCCATAAACCTACTGATGCAATATGGGGGTTTTATAAAAATTAATATGAAATACTTATGATTGGTCAGCTTGATGGGGCTGATCAACATGCCTGGTTAGGTGGTATTTGGTTGTTTTTTATTCTTTCTTCAGTATGAGCTGAAAGTAACTTGTCTGACAATACGTTTATCCTCCTGTACTCTGTGAGTGATAGTAGAGTATGTGTATCGATTATGCTTAATACTGCATCTAATGCTAATCCCATTCTACTAGTCACATGGAGAACGGCATGTAGCTGTGTTAACTGGGATTGTATTCCTTCTTTAGCATTTATGTACTTACCATTCAAAGGTAAAAAATCCCATGGCTGTGCTTCTGAAGTCAGATGCTGAGAAAATGCTAGAACTGATGCCTCTGCCTCCAGAATACCCAGTTCTGTGGGTTCTCACCTATTAAAGGATGTTTACTCATCTAACTCACAGAAGGAATACTTTCTTTAGAAAACGTCAAGTGCAGTAAGTAGTAGGGATGGTATTAGCAGAAGAGTCTCATGTTGAATTCTGCATTACAGGAGTACAAACGCAAGCTAGCCAGAGTGTCCCAAGTACGGAAAGAACTCAGGTCACGCATCCAGAACCTGCCTGATCTCTCCCGACTTCCCAACGTCACGGGCAGCCACGTACACCTACCGTTTGCAGGAGACATCTACAGTGATGACTGATTACAAGAACATCCTTCCATAACCTCTACTTTTCTGTGAAATGAGGGGTAGGTCAGACTGCTTGGTACTCTTGTAGTATTATTTTTGTATATTGTTGGAGAGTGTCAGTAAAAATACTCTAATAATTTATAAAAAATGGTTTAAAAAGTTGATTTGTTTACTATTTTATTGGCGAGTGAACATAAGGGTACATTTATAAAAGTGGCGTCTGTGTCTATTACATTGAAGAATGGATAATTATCTTATCTTTTGTAAAGATTTTAGTTGGGTGCCCTGTAAAAAAACATGCTAAGATTTTTCTTATGTACCCTATATTTAATGTAGGTCAACATATAATCAACACATACTTCTAACTCAAGACATGTCAGTTGCTATTGAGGGAGTGAAATGTGGAAATCACAAGCTTATGTTTGCAAAAAGGTTGATGCAATTTAATGCAAAGTTAAAAGTGATCTTACTGTCCATTACGTTTAAATTACCGACTCCCAAACAAGTCAGGTAGGTTGTTTTGAAGTAAATATTAGCAACCAATTTTGTATTGGAAAACATAAATCATGTTACACTGAGCAGACATTTAAATGACTCAAAATATTGCAATATTTTGGCATCATTTAAAATTCAGCATAAGAAACTATACAATCGACCAGTTTAATTATGTTTCAAAACTGTAACTTACTTTTTACAGCTGCTTAATTTCTAAATTGAGAGACCATTCATATGTACTCTAATCCCTTTCTGGAACATCTGTCTCCATCTAAAAAGGTTAATCCCAGAAATGTGAAGCCATTTTACAGCTTTAATTAAATTGAAAGGTCATTCTCTAAACTGTCCCAGTTGTTAAATGTCCATTATTAAAATTTGACAATGCTGTGTACCATCCGTACTTGCAGTGACGCGATGATGCAGCCATGCTGTACGTCTTCTTCCACTGAGAGACCCCGGAGGCCAGCGTGGGCTTCTCAGCCCCCTCACCTCCACCCGCTCCAGCAAACATTTCTAGGTCATGATTGTCTTTTCTCACAGAACAGGAGGAGACAGGTCAGGCCTTGAGTATAAGTTAAACTGTGGAAAATGATTGCTAAGTCTCTGTTTTAAAAAAGTCCTTTGCATGGCACAAATGTGGTATTTGTCTGCAGGTAGCTGAATTTGTGAGAATTCTTTGTTACCATACTATGCACCAGCTTTTAAGTTCACTTAAAAACTTAAAGGTACAGACAGGCACCTAGTAGATACTGCCAGAAAGTTTAGGCTTTTCATTCAATAGGAATTAGGCAAGTAATTGTCAAAGAGTGATTTAAAAAATGCCTATCTGTACCTTTGTCATTTAGATGACCTCAGCAACCGGGGCTGCAAGTGTTTGAGTTGAATATATCATCAGAGTATTTAATGATAGCATTTTATTCATGGGTTTGCACTTGTCAGGCATTGTTTTGCATCAGTTAAGTTCACAGTTTACAAGTTTAACACTCCTTCTCACATGAAAGCAATTTTTTTTTAAAAAAAATCTATTCTTCCTTTTGAAAAACCACAACAATTCAAAATAGTCCTAGAGTGAAATTGTTGAAGATGGTGATCTGTCACTTGTTACTGACTTCTACAAGGCTAATCACTAGAATAGTTGTTGGCTGTGAATGGAGAATGATCTTTCTCTTTAAAACAGATACCCTTGGACATAAGCACCTCAGGCCAATTATCTTTTCTCGTGGAAGTTGCCATGACTTAGACCTCAGTTAAGTAGGGGAAAAAAACCCAAAAAATAAAAATACAGCTGTTGACATAGCAGTACATAGCGTGCAATATAGAATACTAATTTCATCAAAAATTCTGACTGACAGATAGAAATGGTGAAACTAGTTCATCAGAGCTCACTAGCTGTCCAAAGACTTGTAAGTTTGAGTGGCAATTTTCCACTCTGTAGGAATAAAGAGCTAACTGTAATGAATCCAGAGGAGTCTTTCTTTAGTTTGAATCTAATATGCAAAATTAAATAGCACTAATTGGCATCTTTTCAGCATAGATTTTTGATAAGAAAATTAATGTTCAGTAACAATTTTAATGTTCTAAGTATTTCTGTTCTAGTACCTTAAACAGCTCGTAAATTCATATATACATTTTTGTGCATTACAGTTGCAGTTAAAGCTCAGTCTTGCTAAGGGATAGCACCAAATTTGTGATAAATGTTAAAACAGATTAATCTATCAAGAATTATAAAACAAATCATAAACTAAGAAGGATAAGTAGTGAGTCCACAGTTGAATCCCATCCATGGAAAACTTAATTTGTACCCAGAGGTGATTGTAAGGGCAGTGGCATGGCTTGTTTAGAATGAATTGAAGGATCTAAGTCTTGGATACTCAAAGATATAGGGAATTAAGCTTAAACAGTCTTTTGCTACCTTAACTAAAAATAATTATAATAATAAAGTTGAATGCTGAATTTCCTTGATCTCTCAAGGGTATTAAAAAAGACACGACACTTACTTCACGAGACTTGTTTTTCTTATTCATAACTCTTAGTGATAATGTTGCTTATCTACAGATAATGTAAAACTGATAAATGAATGAGGAAAAATTTCAACTTCTTCTTGATGTATATAATTAATTTTGAGAGAGTGCTATTTTCTGGATATATTTTTCTTTATTTTACTGTGAAATTGTTTACTTCAAGGAATATTTCATAGCTGGGTTCTTGGAAATGATCCCTCAACATTTGTTTGGAAAATAGGACTTGCAGAAGGTAAAGGTCACTCTTCTAGCAATTGTCATATATTAGTGACTGAATGGTATGTGGTTTTTTATTTATATGGGAAAGGCATCAGGTATCAACTAGTTAGAAGATTTCTATTGTAACTGTAATAGTATAGCAGGAGATAACATGGTACGATACAAATGCAGCCCTGTAGTATCAAAAAATACCTCCAAATTCTCAGGTTCCAAAGCTTAATGTACGTACTTCTGACATCTCAGGAAGAAAAGAGGCCGGGTGGGGGAAGGCAGGGTGCCTAGGAGCTGAAAGGGAGAACACGCCTGGCTGGAAATGAAAAGCAAAAACGTCAGCTTTTGTCAAGACAGAAGTAACAGCGTGAAACTGTGAAGCTGCACAATGTTTTAGCTGTAGATGGGATTATACAATAGAACTGCTCTGGGGCATTACCAGCCGGGGAAAGAAAATGTGTGGGTGTACCCTGCCCGTCTCTTCTAACGTGGTCTGACTCGACTCTAACCGGAATGCCCACCCTACAAAAGTCACAATTATAAAATATCTGAACATTTTTCATCTAATAATGAAAGCATAATAATTAGATTATTTGCTTCACTATATTGCACTTTTATTGAGCATTCTCTGAAAAAAGCAAGGACAATCCTGCAGCTCTTTGCCATACGAGAATGCTTACCTTGGAGGTCGTTGGGACTGCTTGTATATTCTAGTGTTTGCAGGCTCAAGCTGTGTTTTTGCAGAAGGTTTTGAAAGATATCAGGAATATTACCCCACTTTTGTGGTTTTAAAAATAAATGTGAAGTCCTTAGTTACAAAAATTACTATTCTTAGAAACTTTGTTTCCTTACTCCTTTTGAAAAATTAACTACAGCCTGCAGTAACATTAGCTTGTCTGTTTCACTCTGTTAATGTTTGTAGTGATACATTAAACCACCTCAGTTAATCCCTAGCAGCACAACCCAAACTACATGCTTATTACGTATTTTATCTGAGTAGTCTTCTGAATGCCGAACTGAGAGCTTTCGTTACGATAAAATTACATTCCTATTTACCTCAAGTTTAAAAAGACAATGTGTTAGGACACAGGCTAATACTGCTCTCGCAAGTCAGTGGTAACTCAGTCTGGTACTTCAGTGATGACCCAAAATACATAGGTAGGATGCAGTAGCCCCCTGCACAGATGACCAGGGAAGACATGGAAATGATAACGTAGGTTTGATTGGCCCTCCACTGAAGAACTGGATTTCAGCCTTTTGAAACGTAAGCAAATAGATTCATGGGTGTGTTGGGTTTTTTTCAGTGGAGAAAATAGTGAACTAGGAAACCAGCACGTCTAAAATTTGATGGTTACATTTATAAATACTTAGGGCCAGTTCTGCTCATTACTCGTGCATATAATCACAGTGACTATTCCTGCAAGTAAAGACAGCAGATTCAAATGTAGTGTCTGAAGTGGAATTTTTTTTTAATGAATGACCAATTTTGTCTTGGCTTCTATTTCAGTGTGTCATTTATCCTGATTAAGTAGTAAATCTCTTCCATCTTGTTATTTAGAAATCTATTTCTGATTTCATCTTTACAATATTTAAAGTATCCTACTAAGCATGATGTTTTTGTGGGAATTTGCAAAAGTTCAATAGCACTCGTTACTTGTTTGCAACAAAAATAGACTCATTTGTTAAAAGCTAACAAGAAAAGTTTGAAATGTAAAGATGTTTCATTATTGTGCTTTTCTGACAGAACGTGTAATCCTTGTGTAATTTATGTCCTCAGAATAACACCTGTATGTATGGTCTTTCATATTTAATAGAATAAAACATTGTTGTAAAAACATCTTTGAAATCACTGTTTATTGCTTGCCTACTCAATCTCAATCTCAATCTCAATCTCATGGTGTGAAATGGCCTTAACGTAAACTGCTCCCTATACTTAGGAGTCAGTCAAAATCTCATGGTGATACTGAGGAAATAATCAGTACTAATTTAGAAGTTTATTACTCTCTGTATTTCTATTTTGTATAATGACGTGACAGTTTTCAGTGAGGAAGCAGTGCATCAAAAAGTATGAGGTCTTATCTCTAGAACAGTAAATTTCTTAAAAAGAAACATTGTTCATATACCGTCTAGTCTGGCTGAAGTTTGTGTTTCTTCAGAGGGGGGTGCTGGGTGCGAGGGAACCGGTTGTAATATGCCAGATTGAGGTTCCCAATATTCAAAAATGGGAAAATGGCTCTGACTGATGTTTTGAAATAAAGCATGTTTTAGTTGAACTGGTTATAGTAA